CTGCAAGGAAAACAAACCTATCCATTCTGAAGGAAATCAATCCCGAGTCCTCACCAGAAGGACAGATCCTGAAGCTGAGGCTCCAATACTTTGGCCATCTCATGAGAAGAAAAGACTCCCTGGAAAAGACGCTGATGTTGAAAAAGTGTGAAGGCAAGAGGAGAAGGGGACGACAGAGGGTGAGATGGCTGGACAGTATCATCAAAGCTACCAGCATGAATTAGACCAAGCTCCGGGAGGCAGTGGAAGATAGGAGGGCCTGGTGTGCTCTGGTCCATGGGGTCATGAAGAGTCAGACACGACTTAACTACTAAACAACAACAATCACAGTTCTAGCATTTATGTAGTGGATTTCTACCATGTTTCCCGGAAAATAAAGCAGGGTCTTATATTAATTTTTGCTCCAAAAAATGCAGTAGGGCTTCTTTTCAGGGGATATTTAATTTTTTTTCATGTTCAACAATCTACATTTATTCAAACAGAGTCATGTCATCTTCTGGTTGCTGCACAATGGTGGAAGGTGGGGTTTCACTTAACTGGGGCTTATTTTAGGGGTAGGGCTTGTATTACGAGCATCTTGAAAAATTATACTAGGGCTTATATTCAGGTTAGGTCTTATTTTCGGGAAAACAGAATAGTATTCAGAGCATTTCATTTACACTATTATCTGTCTAACAGTCCTGTAAAGTAGCACACCCCCTATCACAGGAGGTGTTTGTCTAATACTATCTTATTCATGAAATGCTCTCCTTAGAATTCCAGAATGCAAAAACTATTTACTATGAGATTTAACACAAAGAATTACAAGTATTTCTTCATCATTGATTGTGTCTGAGGTAGGGGTATGCCTTTTTTGATTGGACCCCAACTTCCAGAATTTTCCAAACAGAAATTTGGGAGTTTCAGCCCCCAAGTACATAGATGCGATACCTCGCCGGGACATGGCCGAGGATATGGCAATACATCAAGTCCTCAGTCACTTAGTCATGTCTTTGAAGAACGTGTACAACTTTGCTATAATGCCACTTTCAGAAAGACAAAAAGATTGTTAAATGAAGACATAGTATATGGAAACAAGATATTTTTACTTATACATATCTTTTTTTCCGGGGCAATCATATACAAGAGCTTTGTAAACACTAAATAGAAGAAATTTTTTAAAAAGCTGACAAAAAAGCTATGGTGGTCCATAACAGCAGTCAGACTTGCAAATTAAAGTTTGTCTTTCAGTAACCAATCTCAAAACAAAGCATGCTAAATGCAAGATATGCAATCTGGGACAGTTACATGCTATAAAAATCAGACAGCTCTCACCAGTTGAGAGACTGTGCTGAATGAATAGTCTAGGAATCAAACTACTGTATATAAGCAACACATCATTAGAAAAGGGAATTCTTTAGGCTCTGATTGTGTGTACTTGTAAGTGCACAAGCTTTTCTAACTCCTGTAACTTGCAAAATAGCTTGCTTTGTTTTCTAATTGGTTGTCAGATGTGAAACACTACCTCAGACACCAAAGTGATTTCAACAATAATGATAGCTTTTCTCTAACATCTGACCTTAGTTTTTTCTTGTCTGTTATCTTTTTTGATATTTCATCTTAAAACTGAGACTGATTGCAGATGTTGTGGATTTAACATTAATCCAAATTTCCACCTACTTCCTCTCTTCCGTCATTTCCAAGTTTTAGAGAACTTACATGTTTGCTTGTTAATTTGTGACATTTTGGTTGGTCCTATTGCCAGGTTCTATTTAGAAACTAAATGGAAGGAAAGTCAAGAACAACTATACCAGGGAAAGAGCTGAGTTGCAATGAAGGGTCAGCAAGGTAGCCGATGCAAACCATCACAGCATCAAAGATCTCTGATGTCTGCTTCCCATTGGTCTCTGTGACAACATCCCACTGACCGGTGGCAGAGAAGTCGGGGCGTTTCCTTATAGTGATCACAGTAGTCTGAAACATTTCCAGAACAAAAAATTCACTCATGGTGATGAATCAAGAAAGGAATGAGTTCACAACTGCCTTTAATTGGTTATCTAATCAGAAATAAGAATTTACTAAGGTCATTTGCATCTTTTTTTAAACTGGAAAGAAGTACTGTATCTTCTCTGTGAATATGCAGGTGGTAAAAACGTAGAGCCTTCAAGCCACTCTCAGAGCTGAAGTAGACATTAGAAACAGCCCCTGGTTATCATGGAAAATCCTTAACTAATGAAACCATCTGAGTGTCACAGCACACACAACTCTAGCAGTACACACATCTCTAACAGTATGTAAATTCATTTGCTTTCTGTTGGTCTTTAGGACTTAAGCATGAAGTTACTTTGAAATCTCATTTCACAAATGTGAAAAAATTCCCTCAGTTAATTATCTGCAATATTAAGATGCTTTCAGTTCTAATCACTGGCATCTTTAATATTCTGGTCTCAGTTGTATCCTTGGCAGTTTCTCAGCTTACGATGCAGTTGCTTTGATTTTGAATTACAGTAGCTTAAGTTCTCTGAGTATGAAATTTTGATATATCTCAAAGATTAAAACATTAATTCCATCAGTCCAGTTATTTAAAACTTACCTTGAACTGAATGTGTCTTCGAAGATCAAAATGGTCTGTGTACATCCTCAGATATTCCAGGAGCCTGGCATGGGGCAAGAAGACAGGAAAATCTTCTGGGTATGGAAAATCTGAAAAAGTTGACATCTCCTTACAGGTATTACTAATCAAGGATTTGTAGAGACTGGGTTTTCCTTCTTCGAGATAGTCCTATATAGTAGAAATATATATTTGTTTTTAATTATTTTTCTGAGTGCAGATGCCAAACCTTCAATGTTAGACAGATTTCTTTTTAAAAATTATTCTTTTGCTGGACAGATTTGCATGCCAAAATATGGTACACTGTATTTCAAGGACAGTGAAGTTACTGCAGCATTAACTTCCTCAGTGTCAGCCAAATTCAGAGCTACACTTTGGAACAAAGTAGACACTACTGGCATTGTCTGTTTTCCTCTAAGCATTCTGGGGATTCTGGGATTTAAAGGATTATGATGGAGATTTCTTAGTCACTTTATAGTGTTGTTTTTTATTATAATAAATAAATAAATTATAACCTATAACTTAGCAGAATTAGCATATAGCAGCTGGAAATGTTTAGATAAAAAAACCACTATAGCAGACATATTTTCTCTAGTAAGTAATTAACTCTATCTCATCATTATGCTTTTATATTCATAAGCCCTATTTGGCCCTATTACATTGATCAGTCACATCTTTATTCTTATCTGAGGTACATAACAAGTGAGACCCTGTCTGTTACATATTTACTTTTGTCCCTTTTTAAACCCTCTCTTAGTTGCATGTTTAGCCCTGTCTTACAGACTTCTGACACTTGCCTTATATAGCAGCCTGGTTAGCTACGGACTTTCTGATTATGCAAATACAACTATCTAGCAAACACATTTAAACATTCATATACAAATATGCACATTCTGTGCTGCATAATTATATATAAACACATAGAGCTTCTAGTAATTCTAAGAAAATAAATGAGTAAGTTAACTGGAGTATAAAATTTACAGGCCTGAGCAGAACAAATGTACAAATGAGCAGCCATGATGTTCAGGTGTGTCAAAATGCTGAGTCACAGTGACTTGAAGTTACTCTGCTAGAATTTTCTCTGTGTTCATGCACTAACAGAGTGTGCAAATCCCTTTTTAACACCAAGGGAAACAGAAAGGACAAATAAACAATAAGGCTGCTATATTATGACTAATCTGAATGTTGGTATTGCTTGTATCTTGTTTATGTCAACAGATTCTGTTATTTGCTATGTATTAGTATCTTCTTTAAAACGTCCCCTAAGAGGGTGAGTGTGTTTCCATTCTACATTTATATTTTTGGGAGCTAAATGTAGTATAAGCATAGCATAGTACCATTCTCTAGGACTTCAAGCATCATTCTGCCATTGCTCAGCTATGGATGGCTTCAGCATGGAGCAATAGTTATTCTCCTTAAAGGCAAATCTTGAAGTCCTGTTCTGAGGTTAGAATTCCTATCCTTATAGGGCTGTGTTGAAGAGGTTCAGTGGCAAGAGGGAAGGCGTGTGGAGACATGGGCCTCTCAGCCCCCTGCCATGCCACCAAACTGAAAGCAAGGGAAGATATACCTCAACACAACAGAAAATTCTGTTGTTATGTCCACCCATCTTTAGCAAGAAAGCCCCCCCGACTCCCAACTGGCACTTGCTACAGATGGAAATGTAAGGGTGGGTACCTATTACTGAACCACAAAAAAATTCAAACAGATCAAGAACTTTTCTGGAGGAATTCTGCTTTTTCAGGCTATGCACCACCACTTCATGAATTGTGCAGAAACAATTTAAGCAAGAGTCCAAAAATTTTTGATAGATGTCTGTGCCAGGTCTACCTAGAGAGGTTATCTCAGACTCAGGTTTCAAAAGTCCTCCGGGAGGTGCCATCTCAAGCACCATTCCTTGTGGCATGGTTGGAATGTTTATACCTCACTCAGGTGTGCTTAGCCAGATGAAGTGGAATTCCTTCGCAAAATATTGAGATTTGTTTGCTTTTTTTTAGAGGTCCAATAAAAGATTCCACCCACTCTTACATTTGTGTAATCTTAAGGACCACACAGCCTTTTCCTTGCTTCTTCTACTTATGGAAAGTGATGCATCTGCAGTGGAGACAGTCCTAGTTACATGTATATGCAAGCAAGAAAACTGATTTTCCAGGATCCTTATTTGCATGTGTGTAGATAAGAAAATTTCCACTGCAGATGTGTTGCTTTCCATCAGTGGAATGGGAGGAGTCAACTACTCCTCTCTAAGCATGATGAGAGTATCCATACAGGTTGTTAAAGACCTGACCTGTATGTGTCCTTGGGACATTTACAAAATCCTGTAGTGCTTCCACCAGGAAGGCACTGCACAGCAGGCAACATTCATCCCCCAGATCCCCTCTAAAACATCCCATGAGAATACAGTACAGTGAAATTCCACTGATTTTCAGAAGCTCAGCATTTGTTAGCGTTTGAGTCTCCTCCCTTTGGGAACTACAAGCTGAGTAACTCTGTTCCTGAGGTCTGCTCACCATTGGGGAAGGTAGTACAAAACTAGACTGCAAAACAGCAACGTGGTTTACTGAATTGCAGCCCAATCTGGAACAAAGCAACTGAACCAAGAAGTACACTTGGTGGAAATTGTATATTCTATGTAAAGCATAAAAAAAGACAAATTGAAAGTTGCAAAATAATTGAAAAGGGCAAAATATTATTAAGTAAAAAATGACAGTGCAAGTAAAAGATAATAGGTACAAGATCCCCTGCAGAAGAAAATAGGAAACCTATCTCAGCCTTAGATAAAGATTTAGAGGCCTAACAGAATAAGGTTGAAGTATTTCTGAGCTAGTGCAGAGTGCCTTTCTTACCAATAGCATGTTGTGCTGACTTTCCAGATAATGGTTCTCTATCAAGTGAGGTATTGGGCTAATTTTATACCCTGTTGAATGGATTCTTGGCCAACCACATTAAAATTTCAGTGAACTTTCTAGATGACATGTGGTACATCATGTACTTTCTTTCCCAGGTTTAGCTAGGGCAATTTACCACTTTGTTTTTAAATGGAATTCAGTGGAGTTCAGGACATATTCCTAGCCAGTCCAGATGCCTTCCTGTTTTGGAGACATGGTTATGCAGTATTATTCAAATGAATTGAGAGCTGGATTGATGTCTTTGAAGTCCGTTTAAAATCATGTGGTAGTCATATGGTGTCACGATCCCCACTTGGCTCCTGCTTGTTTCACCAAACTAGGAGCTCATGCTACGTGCCCCTCAGCTGCCACCAGTTGATTGCATCAATAATAAATATTATTAATAATCGAGGTCCAGGCCATATGTCATTTTAAAAGAACCAAATATACATTGTTTGGTGCTACAGAAGTAGATACTTCAAGCAATGTTGTTAACTCTTAACATTCTCCTTCATCCACTCTCAACCACCACTTTCCTGCCGAAACTCCAAAATTCTCTCTCAGAACTTCCTATCTCTCTATCTAATTCCCCCTGCTGCTGAGTCTCTTATCTCTTGTGCCTCTGCCTCTCCAGCACTCCCATTGGTCTATGCAGATAGCATATGAATATTCGTGACCTGGGCGGATGCCACATATGGTCATTGTGTTGGTGTGTGGATCCTAATGGAACAACCTGTAATCCAATTTTAAATTGCAATGTATCATTGCAGTGAACTACTTAGGATATAAAATCACTGTGTGTGTATTGTTTTTAAATTTGTAAACTGCCCAGAGTAGACCTTTGGTCTAGATGGGCGGGATAAAAATCCAGTAAATAAAATAATAAATAAATAAAATATGTGTATGTGTGGAAATTATTTTTGATACTTATTTTTCCAGCTGGCTGTCCAAACAGTGCAAATTCATCATTTCATATTTTTATCTGTAGTCTCATCCCCAAACAACAAAAAGTTTACACCAGAAATTAGAAAGCTCTCGCTGAGATAAATTTCTTAGTCTTGAGGTGCCATGTTATTAATTCAATATGATCTCATTTGAAGTTGCCTGTGAAGAACAGCCACTTCTTCTCTCACTTCAGCAACAGCACAGTTCACAGGCTGAGAGATATCCCTTTTCATCCAACTTACCGTGAACCGCCACAGTCCCCCAATGTCATCGCTCCTCTCAAAGCAGGTGGGCTCCAGCCCCTCATCCAGGCAGCACTTGATGGAGGCCAGTCCACTCACTCCGGCTCCAACAATGGCTACTTTCTTGGGCATTATTTCCTGAAGCATAAAAGAAAAGCATAAACAGGGAAAATCATTAAAGGGTGTAATTAGATTCCTGATTCAATAATAATTGTCATGTGCTGTGAATTCTGACTTGTGGCAACCCTTTTCAGGGAACTCAGAGAACTTAGACGTGGTTTACCATTTCCTTGTTTGGGGAGGGGGAGCACCCAGAGACCATACAGCTTGCCCAAGGCCACTCAGGCTGGTTCTGCTTGCAGGAGGCACAATAGCAAGAAAAGACTCTTGTTTTTCTGTACAGGCATCACTAGGCACTTGGAGCCCAGATCTGGGGGATATAGATTTGCATTAAATTTTCAGATGCTAATGTCTACATATATTACTGCAGCACAAGTGTGCAGTAATTGTTTGATATCGTGTGGCAGCAGAATTCAGCATTCCATTAGCCAACTCGAAAACTGAGGGGACCTCAAACAACAAAAAATTTATAACTTTGAAACTGGACCTTGGATCAGCAACAAATTTGGCACAGATGTAGAACAGAGTTTGCTTTTATTCTCTGCCAAATGTGGTAATGTTTGGGCAAACGATTTTTAAGGTTGTTGTTGTTTTAAGTAAAATTATTTTGCCACTAGCAACCTTCTGTGTCTGGAGATTTAAAACAGAACAGTTGGGCTGTAACTGAAGAAAAGCTGATGTTGAAATCGGTTTCCCTATAAGTTGTTACTTTGTAATAAAGAAGATATCATTTGTTTCATTCTTTAACCATTTGGTCTAGTATGTTTAATGGCTGGAGTCAAGCTCTTTAAAGGAAGGTTATTTTAAAAGTAGCAAGACTGGCTGGTCAACCCTACATTCATAAACTGGAAGTGGATTTTCTTTTCTTTCTTTCTTTTTTTAAAAAAGTATATATATAGGAATAAACATTACCATTTGTAGAAATTTGACAAAAGTCAAAGCCAGCCTATTAATTTCCTATTTAAATTATCCACATAAAATAAATTATGCAAATAACATAAATTAATTTGTATTCTATCCTCAGATTATCCTATATCATAGAATTATAAAAAGACTGAGTTGGAAGGAGCCTAAGAAACCATTGAGCCCAACCCCCTGCTCAGTGCAGGAATCCAATTCAAAGCAAATTTGACAGATGGTTGTTCAATTTTTCCCTTGAGTGCCTGCACTGTAGGAGAGCTCACCATCTCCCGAGATAACTGCTCTAACAGTTGATATATTTTTCCTGATATTCACCTGAAATCCGGCTTCCTTTAGCTTGAGCCCATTATTATGTGTCCTGTACTCTGAGATGATTGAGAACAGATTCTGCTCCTCCTTTGTATGACTACCTTTCAAGTACAGTATTTGAAAAGTGCTCTCTTATCTTCCCTCAGTCTTCTTTTCCCAAGGCTAAACATGTCCAGTTCTTTCAGTCTTTCCTCATAAGGCTTGGTTTCCAGCTCCCTAATCACACTTATTACCCTCCCCTGAACTTGTTCAGTAGATCCTTTTATGTTACTATTAATATGCAATAGCTTTAAACAGTTACGGTAAACAAACAAGGAATAATAGTTTGTAGATATTTGTCATGAGATCTTTCATTCCAAAATGGCAACTTTCACGCTCTAAAGAAGTGTTAAAATCTCAGCAAGAGTACAAAAGCAAACCAGAAGTACTATTTTATCTAATATGTCAATTTCCCTATTTGCACTCCTATCCAGCTGCAAAATGTAAACAGTTAACTTTATGTTGATTATTAAACATTCAGTAATGATAATCACTGCCAGTATGCTATATATTTAATCAAGTTTATAATAGTAGACATGAATGTATATGTTTCTGTCGGTCACTGCCACAACTCCAAGCCCATGAAACCTACACACATGAAATTTGGCATAGATCCTGGATCAATCCTGGTTTCTGCACCTCAAGAAAGTTTTGTTTTTGAAATGAATTAATTAAGTTTCATTAATTAAAATCTCCCTGGAGAAATTTTGGAGGAAGAAAAGAGGAAGCCGCAGTCAAGCCTGAGGGACTCATTTTTCCACTGGCCTCTAGGCAGGTCCAGTTGGTGTTTCCTTCTGCAGAGTTCCCATTTTTACTTGTGTGAAATCAAGTAAGTTTTCCCATTTTGCATATTTGAAATATATATAATTATCAGTTTTAACTTCTCAGCAAAAGGTAAAGGGAAAAACTTAGAATAAGCTGACTTTCTCTTCACTGTTATGCCAGGCCAGATGCTTGGACTTGATTAAGATTAGAAGATCAAGAAGCCCATCTTTGAACAGATGCTCAGAAATTGCCTCTATCTCCTTGGAACTCTGTTGCTCTTCCATTTGGGGTTTTTTTTTTCATATCTGTTTCAGCATATTCTAACTTAGCTTGTAGCTTGGGTGTCACCTATTCTTTTGATTGGAGAAGAACTCTTCCTGACAGAGATTCGGTACTGGTATATTGTCAAGGGGAGATAAGAGGAACTGGAGTGCACATGGAGAGAGCTTTTTCCTTGTTTTTCTCCCTAACATCTGCACATTTTTAATTTTTTGTTGCAAGCTTTTTGTCTAGTTGTCAAATTTGGAATAAAGTGGATAAGACTTCCATGCATTTGCATCTGACTTTCTGATTTTTCCATTTGGGTAGCTGGTTATAGTGGGTGAAGAACTCACAACATTGTGTGTGTGTGTGTTTATGTTTGTGTGTGTATTATGTTTGTGTGTGTATTATGTTCTGGTGCATTGTAACAGTATGGAGAAAATTAAACACAGGGAGAGGCTGAATAAGCGTCAGTCAGGAGAGAAAGATCTGAAAGGTAAAAAAGTGGGGTATTCATAGAATCATAGAACAATGGAGTTGGATGGGACCTATAAGGCAACTGAGTCCAACCCTGCTGCTCATTGCAGGAATGCAAATGAAAGCATATGAGACAGATTATGTCTGTTTTGAGAGAAGAGAAGCACTAGATTTCAGGAGACAACAGGTTTCAAAGAGGTGGTCATGTGGTATTGGGAATTTTTGGTAAAATGGTTTTATACTAGGATTGTGGTTACTCCTTTTCTTAGCAGAACATAAGGCAGGAAAAAAAGATTGCATTTCTCCCGAATATCCAATGGTTTTCTCTTGCTCTTTTGCAGAAAAAGCTCCCCCACCCCATGCAAACTTAGTTGGGGATAACTTGTCCTTCCTTCTCCAGTTATGCTCCATGAAGCCCTTCCCTAAGGCAGTAAAGAAACAACCTTCCATTGACATCTATGGTTTGAGGAATGAGAAATGGATCTAGGGATCCACAAAATACATTTGAGGCTTGGATGCCAAAGATCCTGTCCTTGTAGAATACCAGGGGAACATGACAAACATGCAGTACATCTTAACTCTGTGGCAGCAAAACCATACTCCTTCTGCACATTAGCAACATGGCCTTTGCAAGGACATATTTTGTCGTATGCCATCACTGCCTTTCTTTTTCTCTCCAGTCATTAGAATTGCTGGTAAAGATGCGATCATATTTCAACCAGTGCAATTCCCAACCAGTGTGTTGTCTCTGATGCATTTTTGTTTTCATCTGGCAGGACAAAGTTCCAAACAGAGTAGTCCTAGAATGAGCTGGAATTTTTAGCATGTATACATTACTGAAACAGTGATGCCTACATTGGCTTGGGCACGTCATGCGAATGGCTGGTGGTCAGATTCCAAAAGATCTCCTGTATGGAGAATCAGTGCAGGGAAATCGCCCCAGAGGGAGACCACAGCTGCGATACAAGGATGTCTGCAAGCAGGATCTGAAGGCCTTAGGAATAGACCTCAACAGATGGGAAACCCTGACATCCGAGCATTCAGCATGGAGGCAGGTGGTGCAGCATGGCCTCTCCCAATTTGTCCAGCAGACCGAGGCAAAGAGGCAGTTCAGAACCCAGTAAAATCAGGGAGTTGGACAGGGGACAGATTGTGTGGAAGGGACTGTCACTCTTGAATTGGCCTTTTCAGCCACACTAGATGCTGTTCCAAGTCCTCCATACAGAGAGGTAAGTACCATAGTCTCTCAAGTCTGAAGGATGCCTAATGTAATTCCCAAGTCCTCAGGATTGCCGTTCAAACAGGCAGACATCCCAGGTGTTGTTCCCTATCATAGTGAAAGTGGTAGAACACAGCTTTTGAAGGCACAGGATATTTGTAAAAGACAAGCTGGCAAACCAGAAAGAGATCTATTTGCAGACAAACAGGCACCATACTTTCCAATGTTTATGCCCTTTACACTAATTTTCAGGTCTATAGGGAGGACTGTCTGTCATTTGAAGAATCCTGGACTAAAATGAGAAAATGAGTACTTACAGTATACATGCAGCAAATATTTACTTTTTGACTTTAGAGAGAAAGTTTTAAAATCTTATGTCCTGAGGAAAGTAAGATTAGCCAATTATATGACATATGTTGTCATGTAATTACATATGTTGAAATTCACAGGTTCAGACACATTGGCCTTAGTTTAATTGTTACTCCTTACCAATATATAGACCCACTGAATCAATGTGAACTTGATAAGTCAACATTTATGTAAGCTTCATTTCTTCAATGAACCTATTTGAGCATGGACCTACATTGGATCTCAGCCACTGGACATAAAAAGAACAGAAGGAGCTATATTCAAGTTATATTTTCAATAGAGGAATTTTGACAGGGATGGCAAGAACCAGGGTGCAAAATCTGCTCGGACCCATACAAAGTAATTTGATGTGATGATAACGATTTCACCAAAAAAAAACCTGGAAGCTGGCAGAAACGTCTTGTTATGAGAGTGCTATCAAACCATGTGCCTACTTTTATGTTATACCAGATCACCACAGCTGGACCCCATGCAAAAATCAGAGGCAAAGGAAAAATTGAGCACCTATACTGTATTTTATAGTTACACACAAGAGGGCAGAACTTTAAAAAGTTACTTCTGGAGGAATACAGTGTTCACAATACTGGAGTCCTGGGTATTTTAGTTGAATAAAGGAACATTTCCAAATTCTGGAAGAGGAAATTTTGACAGCTATATCTCTGCTTTGGGAGAGAGAAAACCTTCAGCCTTTGAAATTCACGGTGATATGGCAGCTCTTCATGGCAGAGCACCTTCACCCTCTCTACTTTTGCCCATTCTAAACTTTGGCCTGCTTCATTCCTACATTTATTCATTATGTCCTGGGATGTTAGCACAGGGAAAATCACATTTCTTGTCTATATGAGGAGCTGCCAACATTCAAAATCTATGGCACCAATGTTGAAAAACTACAATACTGTATTGTGTCTGGTATTGTCAGTGACAGCACACATAAAAAATTAATAATTTCATTTCCTCTGGCCCTCCACAGATAATCAGGGGAACCATTTAATTGAGATGAAGATCAATATGGCATTTGGATAGGAGAAGCACGCCAAGTAGCACATTGCTTCTCCCCCTGCTGACCTCAACCAACCCTTGCCAGCATGATCCAGCCTGCACCAAAAGGGCCAATCTGGATATAGGCCTTCACCTTTATTGCAAGCACTCATGATGATTCTGTCTGATACCTTGGGATCCTCCTGAAAAGTATATGTGCTATATGCCATCAAGTTGGGAACTAATTTGTAGTGACCCTAATAGGGCTTTCATGGTAAGTAAGAGGTTTAAGAAGTGGTGTTACTAATTCCACACACAACCCAGTGAGTCTTCATGGCCAAGCTGAAATTCAAACTCAGGTTTCCCAAGTCCTAGTTTATCTCTGTAACCACTACACCACACTGGATATCTCGGGGGGAAATCCTGATGTAAACAACAGTAGTGCTCCTGAACATGTGCAGAACATTTGTTTTCCAAGGAACCAAAGCCAACCTCTTCCTATCTAGATGTAAGCAGATAAAACTTCCAGAGTATCTCTTGTTCCACCCAAAAGTCAGCTGATGTTAAGGCACACATAACAAAGGTTCGTGTGCAGACACTGCCAAACTGATAATGTTTACCTCTGTGCCATGAAAAACATTATCAAAAGCACCAAGAACAGAATCCAGGGCATCAAACTGGAATTAAAGGCACAGAAACAAGCTGGGTCTTTTCTCCCTAGTCTCCTCCAACCAGGTTATCCCCCTCAATAATGGTCCAAATACTGCACTGAGAGAAAGCTGTCCCGAGTAGACATTGTCTAGAGGGGCGGGGTAGAAATCTAATAAACAAATAAATAAATAATAAATAAATTAGTCCCTGGTGACCCACGCAGAGATGGGCTGACCCTATCCCCGTTGAGCTTGTTGCCTGTCTTTTGTCTGTCTGCTGCAACTGCAATGTGGGCAGGCTGTGCTCCTCTTACCTTATTTTTCAAGCCTTGACGGAACCTGCAGGGATATCACAAGCCTGCTGAGGCAGTTCTGCTTCTTGAACAATGTGTTTGCAACCAAAGCTGCATAATATTGGGGAGGGAATGTAGAAGCCCTGCAAAGGAATGTGGGAAATGAAGGAGGTCCTTTTGCTGAGAGAAAAAAATCCCACCCCCTTTTGGAAAGATTTGCATAAGTGAACTTTGGAAGTTGGCACGGCCAAGGAGGATGTGTGGAAAAGGGCATTTGATCAATGTCCAAATTTAATATTATAACAAACATCTGTGAAACTAGTCAAGTGAAAAAATAAATGTGAGGATCCCTGGGCTGGCTTTTGTTCTGATGGAAAGAACAAAGGCCAGAGGGATGAACCTGGAACTGGTTGTGCAGCTCAGGTAACACCCAGGAGCTATCATTATTTGATTTTTTTATTTGTTTGGTTTATGCGGGGGAGCAAGAAAAGACTTCGAAAGTACAATGGAGTTTAAAATTGCGGCTTGGAACGGCAACTAAGAGTAATTTCATAATACTTCTAGGTGGACCAAAACAGTGCACCAGCCATATGGCAGATCAAGGTTACAGAATTTGTAGACATTTTTGTTAGCTAAATGTTTGTATCTTTTTCATTGTATTGTATCATCGTCTAACACTGAATTAGTGGAATTTACATGCACGTTGATTTATCGAATGTCCATTGATTCAATGGGCCTAGCTGAGATTAACAACTGATTTAGGGATTGATACTTTTAAAATGAGCCTTCTAATGACTCCATTACTATATTTTCTGACATTCTGAGAAAATTTATCGGACTATACCTTGACACTATTTTTATTGAACTATTCATGATCTACTTGGTAGAATCATAGAATCAAAGAATAATTGAGTTAGAAGGGCTTATAAGGCCATCAAGTCCAACCCCTTGCTCAAGGCAGGGATCCAAGCCAAAGCAGATCTGACAGATGGTTGTCCAATTTTCTCTTGAAGGCCTTCAGCGTTGGAGCACTCAACCACTCCCACGGTAATTGGTTTCATTGTTGCACTGTTCTAACAGTTAAGAGGTTTATCTTGAAATTTAGCCTAAATATGGCTACCTGTAGTTTCAGCACATTATTACATCTCCTGCACTCTGGGGTGATCAAGAACAGATCTCGCCTCTCCTTTGTATGACTGCATTTTAATTATTCGAAAAGTGCTTTCATATCTCTCCTTGGTCTTCTTCTCTCAAGGCTAAACCTGCTCAGTTCCTTCAGTTTTTCCTCACAGGCCTTGGCTTCCAACCCCTTGATCATCCTTCTCGCCCTCCTGTGCTCCAATTTGTTAGGATCCTTCCAAAATACTCTAGATGAAGCCTAAACAACGCTGAATAAAGGGGAACTGACACCTCACAGGATCTGAAGACTGTACTTATGTTAATGTACGTATCCTAAAGACACACTTGCCTTTTTTGCAGCTACATCGCACTGCTCGCTCATATTCAACTTTTCATCTAAAACAATTCTGAGATCCTTTTCAGTGGTAATATTACTGAGCCAAGTATCCTCCATCTTTTTGTGAAGATTCTCAGTCATCCAGATGAGCTTATCTGGAACTTGAGTCACGGCATGGACTTATTTCATGGACTTATTTCTTATTTGGTTGAAATGTTTCACTATTGATCAAAGTAGCTTCTGTACTCTGAGGAGAGTTGGTAGGAGATCCCTGATATATCCTCCACATTGGTTTCACTTCAATCTGGTCTGAATAGGCTCATTAGATGGAAAAAGGACTGGGGGTGAGTGAAAATCCCACTTCTGCAGTCCTTCTCCACCCATAGTCATGGGTCATTAATGGTCGTTAACAGTGGTCTTTCTGGTGGGTGTGGTTCTGATCTTTCTGGGGACAGATGAAAGGGCAGCATGATAAATAGGAGACAGATTGTATGGAAGGCGGCCACTCTTGTTGAGTGAAGGATTTTCTCTTTGCACATATATGGCCTCCCTGGCCCCTCTCTCAAACCACCTATCTTCTCCATCCAAAATGAGTATACTTTGGTCATCAAATGAATGTCCTTTGTCCTTCAAATGAAGGAGCACTGCTGATTGTGGTCCTGAGCTGTTTTTTTGAATGAACTCTAAATGCATATTTCTGTGTTCTGTGGAGGAGTATAAACAGTGTGACTGTTATTTCTTGCAGTGTACTCTTTTTCTGCTTTGTCTTGCTGTTCTTCCACCTCCACTGCCAACACCCCCCTTCTGTGACTGCTGCTGCTGAAGAGTTCTGTCTATGTATCCTTAATCTTCTCTTATAGCCATCTTCTCCTATAGTAAATTCTGGTCCAGAGACAACTTCACTTATAGAAGAGAGTAGGATCGCGTCACCTCTGTATGTAGAGCACAAACAAAAATAAAATATATTTGAACTGGCAAAGGAGATATGTTGCAGAGTTTTGAATTCTGGCTAAATGCCTCTAGGTGTGCAGCAGATATGCGGGGACATACATAATTAGCTTCACATCTCCCCAGAGTAAGCCACCCCTTATTGTCTCAACAACTGTCACTTACTTTTGATAACTTTTTCTGAGGCATAGGTAGAAGATAGAATAAAAGGTTGTGTTTAATTGCTGGTGTTTCTCATGCTCTTGTGCCCTTGATAGTAGTAGTCCAAGTGGAAATGGATGACTTGTAACTAACATTATATTTAAAGAGAAATAACCATAAGGAGGGAGAACAGTGGCCTTCAAGGTGCCTATTCACAGTTCCCCAGTACCTGTTCATCACAGATCTTCACTCCAGTGAGGTGCGGTTTAAAGTGCTGAAATGTTCACTTTTCAATTTCTTACATTCCTTCCTTCCTTCCTTCCTTCGATTTACACCCCACCCATCTAGACCGAAGTCTACTCTGGGTGGCTAACAATAAGACATAAAAGTAATATTCATTCATTCATTCATTCATTCATTCATTCATTGATTTATTGTATTTATACCCCGCCTATCTAGTCATTTCGACCAAACAACAATGACAATATAATTCAAAATGGCAAGGTCATTAGGTGATGACAGGAGGGAAAGCCTACCTAAAGAACCAGATCTTAAGTTTGTTCTTTAAAACACCCAGCGAGGGAGCCAGGCAGATCTCTGCAGGCAGACTATTCCAGAAGTGAGGGGCCACTGCCAAGAAGGACTGGTTTCTTGTTCTTTCTCTCAGGGCCCCACTCGGCATTAGGCCCCTCAGCCGCCTGTCCTGGCTAGAACTAGTAATTCGGGTAGATCTAGGTGGGAGGAGGCCTTCCGCTATCTATTGAGGTCCTTTTGTCTGCCTTTTGGGGGAGGAACAAGCAGTCATCTGAGAAGCAGTTGACAACAGGTCAAGCTGTGCAACTTTCTAGGAGATTCACCCTGCATACTCTTTTTTTACATCGTTCCTGGGTATCATTAGTGGGCTTGAGAAAAAAAGGCTTCAAATTTTAGTCTTGAAGCTGTAAGAAGCCTCTGTTGTTTTTGCTGGGGTAGCAGCTGAACCTAGCAAAAACCCTGGAATGTGAATCTGAATGTTTGCACCCTGTTGAAAGCATAACTTAGAATCTAGCCTCATGCTTTAAATTTTTACTCCTGAAAATTGTCCCTAATAAGTTCTTTTTTGGCCAAAAATGTGTTTTCCAGCTGGATTGAGAGAATTTCAAGTTCCCTCAGAGGGAAATTTCTGGAAATGTTGCTGATAAATATGTAGAACTTGGACGAGAAGGAAACCCACACCATTCAGCCACGTCTGAGTTGGTACAACATTGCCTGTCTTGGCTTGTATGAAAATAGAACTGACTGCAGTTCCTTGCTTTTGAGATGGAGATTCCAAAGGGTTACTAGAGTTCAATTGTTGACTGAAGTGTACAGATTTGCATTACTCCCATTATGTTAAGCAATCAAAGAGTGGAACTAGACCGCCCAATGGAAGCAGAGAATTCCTAATTCATGTTTGAATGGAAGCAGAGAATTCCCAATTCCCTTGGTCACACAAGGGAAATGGTTTCTAGTTCTTCTGATACCTCTGTTGTACTGAATTGTGGTCATGTGGTTTATATCCCAGGATAAATGTCCAAAGAACTTTTAGCAGTACCGATTTATTTACTCCTATTTGAATCATTACACCTGGCTACACCATGATCACGGTTTATTTTGTCTCTTGCTTCAAGGGGCCATTTAGACCCTTGATATATATATACATTTAAAAAAATAATATTTATCAATACATGGATACATCAGAAACAAAACTCCCTCTAAGGTGCATGACTGTGCAAGTAGTTGCAGCTGTTGATATTACCCAATGGACAGCTTTCCTCCTTCTCTTCTACACCCACAGCAATTGTTTCCAGACCCTTTCATTCTGGTTGCAATGAATAGGGGAGTGGAAATGAGAGGGAACATTGATCAGGAAAGGATTTTCTGTTTAGGAAAGTGTGCCTCTATTGCACTGGCTACTCCTACAAAAATGCATTGGACACAGTGGACATGGGATATCTGTGTAACGGTACTGGCAATACCCCCCCCCAGTTACATTGGCATACCAATAGTTGCTATTGAAAATTAAAAATATATTATTCACCAGTAATGTAATGGTGGTGCCCCCCCCGTGACATACTTTTACCAACGTATTAATGTTTCAGGCATGATTTAAAAAATAAAATAAAATAAATGTGTGTAATGCAGCAATGGTGGCCATCTTACTGGCTTTGATTCTGAAAAGAAGTGGGGCAGGGCATGCACACAGGCAATCCTGGTAAGAAATGCACCAGTACAACAAGGTACAAAATAGCACAGGCAGGCATAGAAAGACAAAGGAAGCGGGACCCGAATGATACCCCCACTCTTTGCAAAGACAGTTGGGGGTGGGGGATTGCTTGGGTCCCAGTTCCTCACCTGGGCATAGAAAGACAAGGGAAGCCTGACAGAAGTGATCCCCCAACCTTGCTGTCTTTGCAAAGGCAGTGGGGGAGGGGGATTGTTTGGGTTTCACTTCCCTTCTCTTTCTATGCCCCCCCCCGCATAGAAAGATGGGGGAAGCCTGAGTGAAGTGATCCTCCCCCCTCTGCTGTTTGCAAAGACAGCAGGGGAGAAGTTCTTTGGTCAGGTTTCTCCTGTCTATGCTTCAGGTGCATAGAA